TAAAGTCGATCGTAAAAATAGAATAAAAGGATAAAAATAACCCAATAAAATCGATTTTACAGGTATAAAAATAAAGTAGTAACGTTACAGAATAGTATTTAATAAACTACATGAAAAAAATGAAGAAAGCAGGCAGATATAAAGAAATTAAATCAATAAGAAGGATAAAATGTGTATATAATGTATAATATATATAACTTTATTTAGTCTCCAGAGAACGATGCACTAAATGAAATAATGTCCTCTAAAGTGATGGGAACAGCTCTGTGTGTTGTTATTGGGGGCTGATAGATAGATAGATATACTTTATTGATCCCAAGCTGGGAAATTGCAGAATAACATATGTGTGTCTTGTGCAATAAAACATCTGAGAAATATCTCTTAAAATACTTAAACAGTGTAAGTTAGTTTATAGTGTTTATGCAACTATTGTAAAGTTTTACTACGTTGCAGTTTGCACAATAAAACCTGTTTATATTCCTTCATGTATACATTTCCCAGTACTGGTTAAAAACTATAATTCACAACTGTCTCAGGAAAAAAACTGGGCCTTCTTTAGACATGAAAGTTAATATTAGTGACCTGTTTTTAGATATTTAGGTCTTAAAGAGGAACCAGGGGGCTTGTAGCTGAGTGCCACAGACAGCAGGGTATTTACAGCTGTTTATTGCACTGATGTTTGTTTCTGATGGACAATATTTGCCTTTACAGTCAGCAGGATCCTCTGTACGGCCAGCAGGAGAGACGGAGCTGTGGAGCGACCGCTGAGGAGCCTGGAGGGTCTTTTTGTTCGGGATTGTGTGTTTTTCCCTCCAGAAAGTGAAGCGAGGAGCGAGGAGCTGTGGCTGATCTGCAGCCATGCACCGTTTAAGGACTACAGTTGCGAGGCTTCGGCCTTTAACGGCTGCGCAGACGGCCCAGGGCCCGTCGCAGCCCAGACTGCCGCCGGTGGAAGGGGGCTTAAGGACGTTTCGGCCCGCGAGGCGCCTGAACACATCCGTGGCTGCTGAGCCCTTCCTCAACGGCACCAGCTCTAACTATGTGGAGGAGATGTACTACGCGTGGCTGGAGAATCCCAGGAATGTGCACAAGGTATTATACATCAATGTCCGATGAATGTCCTGTCCTTTTTACTCTGGGTCACCTGGAAAGGTAAATAATGAGTTCCTGTGTAGGGTAAAGGTCCAAACAGATGCTATCAGCGTGTGTTTGTGGAAAGTAGAGCAGGTAGGTCAACACTGTCAGTGTTCTGTGAAACGCGGTCGCGCCAGTTGTTTCACATTCAAAGACGTTTACGCGGCAGTTTAAAATGTGTTGTATACTCACCAAATGTCAGAAGAAGGAACACTGAACAGAAAAATACAACCGTACGGCTTCTGAATTCAAGTTTCTTTCTTTTACCGACTAGAAACTAAATAAAACTCAGCAAATGAACCGTCTGTATCCGTCTTCACGCTGTCCCAACAACCACCAACTCTGCTGTCTGACTCACTGACAGCGTTATCTGTGAAAATACAGCTGTTCTTCCTCTCGCTCGTTCTTCGGCTCAGTTTGGAGGCAGACCTTTAAATTAGCGAAATAAAATGGACAAAAAACAACCGATATTTGATATATATCTTTAGCCTCTCTCCAGTGGCTCCCTGTACATTATATGGACATGTAAGTATTTTTTTAATAACATTTTCCTTTATCATATCAAACTAGATCCATTAAAACACTTAGAGCCATCATTGCAGCACAAAGTTAGGACTGTAAATGCTCTAAAGGGAACAAATCAGGTTTCTGCCCTTGATTAGCAACAACTCGGGTCAGAAATGACCCAATTCTTTAAAACAACACTGAATATCTGTTTTGAATTCAACCTCATCATTTAGACCGGCATTGGCAAACAAACCTTAAAAACGGTTGCCAGGTCGCTTATCTGGAACTTTAAACTTTGCTTTTGGTGGGCCAAGTGGAACAACGTCAGATTTACAATCAATAAGATGATAAACATCATTAAATGGATTAACCTCGAACACACAAGCTTTCATAAAAACCAGACCAACAGCGTGTGTGTGGAAGCTGTGGTTAATGTCGTCTCTACCTGTGAGCTGATACGGAGGCGGATGTGAAGAAGCTTCGTTTCCCTTTGATCTTGAAATCCTCTCACAGCAGTAAGCCACTTACTCTCCTCTCTGGTTACAAACTTAAACATGCGTGTGTGCGTATTTAGACAAAGTCGGTCGGTCGGTTCAGACGGAAATATCTGATCAGCTGTTAGATCGATCGTTACGGTCCGTAGAGAATCAACTCTGATCACTTTAGATCAGGGAATTGTAGGGCTATCGAATATTTTGGTAAAAATCGAGTAATTCTAATCGATTAAAATCGATTAATCGGAATAAAAACAGAACTTTTGCTTAATTAAAGCTCCAATTATAATATACATAGAGGAAAAAAGATGCAACTTAATAAATAGCCAACCCCATTTTTGTTTCCTTTTTAAGAAAAAACTGCATTTATTTATTCATTACATAAATCATAAAATAGTAACGCGTTTCATCAAAATGTCGCAATATAAAATAAATAAAAAATACTTCAAGAACTGCGTACTTCCAAGCCTCCCGATTAATGTAACACATCACCCATGTTGTCCCTTAATTATTAATTTAAAATAATCCCACACCTTCGACATCTTCTGTCTCTTCCTCTTATTACTTTCGCTTTGCTGCGTTTGCTCATTTTCGCTGTTTTCGGTCCCGGCGAAAAGAATCCGTGCAAAACGTGAACTTTAAATTTAATTAAACGAAGCTTCGAGGCAGAGGAAATTCTTCGAACATTTTTTGTCATCGAGTTACTCGAGGAATCGTTGCAGCCCTAGTTCAGTTTTAACTTTAATGTGTGTTTTTTTTAGTGATC